GTTCAGGGTTTAGGGTTCAGGTTTGTAGGGTTTAGGGGTTTAGGGTTTAGGGTTTAGGGTTGTAGGGTTTAGGGTTTAGGGTTCAGGCTTGTCGGGTTTAGGGGTTTAGGGTTTAGGTGAAGCCGTCAACATTCGCACGAACAAGTTTAGAGTTCAAGGTCGACGCACTGTGCAGATGGATGCCCCTGAACGTTTAGGGTTCAAGCTCTAGGGCTTCGACTCCAAGGGTTCAGGGTATAGGGAACCTTAAACCCTAAACCCCTAAACCCCAACTCGGATCCCAAGTAACCTAGGAATAGAAAGGGCTCCCCCTTTGTTGTATGGTAGTTTTATAAGGAACCTGAGACTACAAAAAGGGGAAAGGGCCCACTAGGAGACAAAGCTAAACTCTGAACCCTGATATCCACAGATGCCCATCTGAGCCAGCAAGGCGACGCGGATTCGGGTTCGGCCACGCGTGCGCGAGGCAAACGTCAATCTGCCCATCTCCTCGCAGTGTGCAGGGTGTGGGATTCCATGTGCGGTTCAGAATGGATTTATGACGGTTTAGGGTCCAGAATCCAGGATGCAGGGCCGTTCTAAGGGTTTAGGGCTTAGGGATTGATGCGCTTTTGTTTAAAGGGGGGTTGAGGGAAGGGGCAGTGATGGGCAGCAGGGTATCAGGGCTCAAGGTTTCGGGTTTAGGGCGCTTGGGTTTACCTGAAGGGTCATACCCTGCCCCGAGAAAAGCAGGCACCCTAAAACAGAGTAGGTATGCTTCTACAGGTAAATGGAGGATCATGGGCTTAGTAAGTAAGTAGGGTTATAGGTACCCTAATTGGGGTTTATAAACCACTATATAAGAGAACTACACCGAGTAATAACCCTAGTCACTAAGTCCCATGATCCTCCAAGTAGGGTTTAACGCTGATTCGCAGGTCGGGTGCAGGGTTCGTGGCTTCTCGGTCCGGGGTCTCGGCTTAGGCTTTAGGGGTTTAGGGCTTTAGGGGTTCAGGGTTTAAGGTTTAGGGTTTAGGGGTTTAGGGTCTTAGGGTTTCAGGGTTTAGGGTTTAGGGTTAGGGTTTAGGGTTTAGGGGTTTAGGGCTTTCGGGGTTCAGGGGCTTAGGAGGTTCGGGCTTCAAAGGTTTCGGGGTTTAGGCTTTTCGGGTTTGGGGTTTAGGGTTTAGGGTTTGGGGTTTTAGGGTTTGGGGTTAAGGGTTCATCACAACACGTTCACAACGTTTCAAGGACTGGACAGGCATTTTGGGGCAACCCTGATTTACAGGTTTCCAAGAAACCCTACACCCGGGCCGTGTAGAATCCCCGTAGACCCTCTTAGAGAACCCTTACATCACAAATAAGGAACCACTTGATAAGTAGGTTATAAGTAGAGTCATAAGCAGGATAAACCTCATTTAGGCCATTTGTAGCTCTACCCATAGCCTACTTACATAGTCCCCTGACCCTTTCAGCAGGGTCGTAATGCAGGGTCTTAGTAGTTAGAATAGGGTTTTGGGGCCCATTATACTATAGTTGTAATAAGGAACCCCAAAATAATGAAGGTAACCCTAAACCCTAAACCCTAAACCCTATTGTAAACGTGAAGGTCTGGCGGAGATGCAATCGCCGCTGGCGCACGAGGCACAAGAGTTTGTTTTTGAGGTAGAAAAGCTGTGCGTGTTTTGGTGTCAGCTACCAGTGGCAGCTGATTCCTACGATAAGCTGTCACTGGTAGCGGAGCCAGCGGCCCGGGGCCATGTCGGCCGAGCAGCAGCCCGACCCGTGGTGGGGCGGTCAACGAGATCCCTGGAGCAGGGCAAACAACGATGAAGACGGTCGCCGCGCGGCTCAGACAGAGACGGGTGTGAACCCGGGCGATGGGCAGTGGGACACCGCCACTCGGGCGGACCAATCGGAAGCGCCTCCGCAGGGCGCGGGCTGGGGAGATGCTCCCAACCTTGCGGAAGCTCAAGATTGGAGTGGGGAACCTCGTCGAGGAGACGCACCGGATGCAAGCAGCGATGGGAGCACAGCGGACCACGGCACAGGCTCTTGGAATGCCAGAAGGTCTTCGGACGGATCTTGGAGCGGCGGAACGCCGTGGAACCAGGCTTCGTGGCGACAAGGGTGGCGCGGTGACTGGAACGGCTACGGCGGCTGGGGCCAGCCTTGGCATAGCAACGGTCACTGGAACGACCCTACGGCATGGTGGACGGGTGCCCTATGGAGCCCTCCGGCGCGGTGGTGGAATGATCCTACGACCATGAACGGGAGTACCACCGGGACTCCACCGACTACAGGCGAGCCTACATCGGGCACTACCTGGGGCACCGGGAATTCCTCTTCGGCGACTACCGACACGGCGTCTACTACCCGACCAACGGCTACCGGAACAGGAATCACGAAGGCGGACTACGAACCCCGACCCGGCGGCCCTTCGGAAAAGATCATGGTCCCAATCTTCCGAGGAGAAGGGGAGGGCGGAGAGCTAGGTACCTCTGCACGAAGCTACCTGCGCCAGGTGGCCGCTTGGGAGAGAATGACGAAGTTGGGGGCATCACAACGCGCCCTCGTGCTCTACCAACACCTTCAAGGTGCCGCCTGGATAAACGCCGAGCAGCTCGCAGTTGATAAGTTAAGTTCCCCCGACGGCGTGGAGTACTTCAAGGCCTGGGTGACTCAGCACTACTTGGACATCGAGGTGACTTCCATTGGCAGGTCCCTGAGCGACCTGTTCCGGAAGCTCAAGAGGAGGCCGGCCCAGACCTTCCGCGACTACGTAGCCGAGTACAACCGCCTCTCAGCGAGGGTAGCCGAATGCGGGTGCCGGCTGCCAGACATAGCATCGGCATGGCTTTTCGTGGACCGGGCGAACCTGGATGAATCCACTGAAGTCAGCCTCTTGGCCTCAGTGGGGAATCGCTACAACCTCCAGCAGCTACAACAGGCCGCAATCATCTTGGATCGCTCGATGAGAAAGCCATGGGAGCGGACGGGTCGCGCCAACACCGTCCACATGACCGACGAGATCGAGGATGAGGAAGAGGGCGAAGAGGACCCGGTGCTGCAGGACGACCTCGGCGACCACGACCATGGCGACCTCTACGTGTCCTACATGACGGCGAAGGCTCGATACAAGGACGCGGCGAAAGCCAGAGGAGTGGACGTGGAAGCCGTCCGCAAAACGGCAGAACAAAGGGTGGCCATAGCTAAGAGCAAAAGCCACTGCGCGGCGTGCGGGCAGAAGGGACATTGGCACCGGGACGCCATCTGTCCTAAAAACAAAGCAGGAACAGGCAACCAGGACCCGAAGGCCCACAGCATCCACGTGACCAATGAGGTGTTCGAGCTGGCCACTGCCCCGGGAGGACCCCTACTGGCCATCACCGACACCGCATGCTCCCGATGTGTGGTAGGAGCGGCTTGGCTACAGCGCTACATCGATGATGTCAAGGCCCAAGCTGGAGGTGATGGGAACAAGGCCTACCCCTACGAGTTCATCAATGAGAAGGAGTCCTTCCGGTTCGGAGCGAGCCGGGTCTACGAGTCGAGCTATGCAGCTGTGATCCTCACCAAGGTCGGTGGGACCTGGTTGGCAGTCAAGGCCGCGGTCATCCACGGCGACATCCCTCTGCTTCTCTCGCGTCCCCTGTTGGCGAGCCTGGGCATGATGTTCGATGTCGAGCACAATGTCGCGAACTTTAGAAAGATCAATGTCGAGGGGCTAAAGCTGGCCTCTACCACCTCAGGACACCCGGCCCTGATGGTGCAATGTATCGGCAGCTCCGCCATCGATCCCAGCTCTGTGCCTAAGGCATGGGGGAACAAGGAACTCGAGATCTTGAAGACCCGCGGTGCCTACATGAGTTTCGTGGTGGGACATGGGGAAGCTGTACTACGGGAGTCTAAGCAGGGAGAGGTGAGTGAAGGTGATAGGCGGGCTGTTGTAGGGAACCCCAACCTGTTCTATGCCAAGAAGATATCCCCCGCCATCTACGAGGCCCTGGTAGCTGACTCGCTCAACATGAACACATTCTTGGGTTGGTGGAACTCCACGGCTATTACCAATGACTTCTGGATAGAAACCGAGCACAAACTTATCAGGGTCCACGTGACTCCCCGTAAGTCTTTCTTCTGTGCAACTAGGTGGCAGACATCGAAGACACTACATCGTGACAGACTACTAGATGCACTTGGGGATGTTCGGGAAAGTTGGGGCATCGCATGCACAACTCAGAGAGAGCTGTCCACGGTCATTGATAGGTGGCGCACATGTGCAGACGGCGGATATTCAGTGCTATGGGTCGGCCGCAGCGTTTTCAACCGAGCAGCACAACGCCCACGCGACCCGGAACCTCGTTATGAGCACCCGGCCCGCGCCATGGAAGATGAACAAGGTGGAGCTACAGCAGGAATGTGCGAGACTGGGCATCGCTTTCCACCCACGGTGGACTGTGCCAGAGCTTCGCCACCTCCTGAGCGAGCACAACGAGATCACGCCGATGTTCCCGAAGCGCCTGACCTCTATGTCCCTACCGGAACTACGAGCGGAAGCGGAGGCCATCGGGATCGGCTATGGTCCGAAGGAGACAAAGGGGAGCCTCATGCTACGGATCCGCGATGCCGTGGCCCCGGACCAGACCATCATGACGGTGGGACGCCACCGCGGAGTACCCTATGTGGAGATACCGGACAACTACGGGGCTTGGGCATCGGAAGAGGAGCGAGTGAACGGGACGAACATGCACCCCGACCTCAAGCGGTATGTCACCTGGCGGCGGGAGAAGAAGGAGCAGCAGGCGACGACCTACACCTAAGCATGTCCAGAACCCCTTGGGT